CGCTGCTCCTTGCGCGTACGTAATACGTTCAAGTAGGACTCGTGTGTAATGTCCTTCTTAACGACGTACTTTTTTACGCCTTTCGCCTTCTTCTCCGCACCGTCCATTTTGAGAACGCTGTACATTTTGGGTTTCAGGCCCACGTACTCTATTATGGGCTTGCCGGACATCTCGTCCTTCATCTTCCCTATTACCTTCTTATTCTTCGCGGAGTAAAGGAAGTGTTCCTTAGGGTAGGCGCTGGTGTCGTACTCATCGAGGTCCTCAAGGCAGTCCTGGTAGACGTCTTCCGTCTGCACTTCGAGGATCAAGGAATCGGTGTCGGTGTATAAGAGGTGGCAGCGGTCTCCGTACTTTGGCTTTAGCTTGTCGTAGTAAAACTCGTACATGAGCACCTTCGACAGATCCAGCACTGTAAAGCCTGTGTAGACAGGCTTGTTCAGGAAGAGGTTCGCTTTCTTCATGTGAATCAGGTAGAAGTTCAGCATTTCTACGTAGCGGACAAATCCGGGCTGTGACACGTATGCTTCTGCTTCCTCTCTGGTGCTGGCTATCTTTATGCTTACCCGCTTGCGGATGTTCTCCATGGTCTTACCAAATACGCTATTATTCATCAATTTAAACAGATTCTTCTCAAAGTCGTTCTTTGCTGCTGTGCGCTTCTGAGTGTTGAAGTCGATGTAGGGCTGCATCCATGGCTCCTGTGTGAACTTCAACACCCGGTGGATCCTTTTAACGCGCATGCCGTGGCGCACGTAGAACTGCAGGTTGCGGTAATGCACCACGTACTTCTTCTTGTCCATCAGGTTCATAGTTAGTTTCCTGTACGGTTTGTATCCGGGACACATTTGCTGCTGCAGCGGAGACAGCTGCGCAAATGGTATCTCCACGGCCTCTGGTGCTAAGGGAAACTCGTTGTGGGCGTCATGCAGGTGCTCGGGGTATTCCAGATCCACTTCGAGGATGAATCCTTTGCGGCTGTCCGGCCTCACACGCAGGTAGTAGTCTATCTACCGTGGCTCCACCCATTCGAAGTCCCTTACTGGTAAATGCTGCGACATTGCCCAACCGTAGAGGTTGTTGGCGTCCAGGTAGAAGATGTAGGTGGTTGGCTTTTCGGGGTCGTGCTCCACAGTGGGATTGTTCGCTTTTGCGTATCGTCTGCTGGGCCCGCAAACGCCGCCGCGAATACCGTCTTCCATAAAGCGGTACATGTCGTATTCCGTTAGGAGATCCAGTTGCGCGTTTGTCTTCTTTAGCAGCGCACTCCAACTAAGCCCAGGAGCCGTGTAGAAGTTCGCTGGATCCAACCCGTAGTATTCCATTGCCATCTTTCGAAAGCTTTGGAAAACATCTGCGAGCAGCACTACGTCTGAACGTAGGTAGACGTCGTGGTATTCCCCCATATTCTCGCAGGAGTACTTTTCCCACACATCTAACGCATGCTGGTACTCCTCGTCCTTTATACCGGACTCGTTTAGGGTGCTGTAGAA